TGCTAGTCTTTGAGGAGGGACCAGATGAACTAACCAGACTGCCAGAATTTCCAGGTTCCGAAGAAAAAGAGCACATGCTGGCAAACATGTGAACCAGAGGTGTATGGTTTCTATCTACCTTTCTAGACTATCTGGAATGGAAGCTTAGTGGAACTTGAATTGAATACCAAAGTAGTAAGAATATATTGTGAAGTCAGTATTAGGGTTGGGGTGAACTCTACAAAGGCATAGTAGTTTAATGGTATGCTCTGACCATCAGTATTGGTCTTGGTCATAGTGATACTAGGTCAGCTGTAAAAATGGAATACAGAAGATTCTGAAAGTTTTAGTACAAGGTTAAAGGTTCCTCATATGAGTGAACTGCTTTAAAGACTTAGTGGCCATGGCATATTTTCACTAGCATTGGTCAGAGTTGTTAGTAGGCAGAGGTAGGTGAGTAGATATGGAAACAGAGTGGTTAAATAGAGAATCTACAAGCAGGTTCCAGGTATGGCAGCTAGTGTAGAACCTTTGGACAGACTACTTAAATTAGACAATAACTAAAGTTGTATGAGTGGCTAGTTGTACACTCTTCCTATGGTTGCTCCCTGTGGTTGTAAAGCATCTATTAGTCAAATATACTACTAATAAAATTCTGGGTCGTAAGTACTCGCCTTAATATTTAAAAAAAATATATATATATATAACTTATTGACAACATATCAGTCACAAAATAATGACTTAGTAAAAAAATATAATATAACTCTGTGTAAAGTATTAGCAAATTTTGTAAGTTAGTTTTATAAAAATTGAAATAATTATTTATTACTAGTTTTATTTACATTAAGAATTACAAAATATAATATTACTAAATACAGTTTATACTATTATTGTATTGCAGAGAAGTTATTCTTTCTGTAAAATTAATGATGAATATATATTATATTAACAATTTAAAAGAAGACCTATATAATATATTAGTTTTAATATTAATCTTTAAAATTATTAATTAATTATTTAAAATTAGAATTGAAATTTAAGAAAACATTTATAAATTACAATAATAATGAAAATAGTATTATGATTAGCAACATTCCTTGCAATATTTTAAAATATATAATATAGTACTAAGATATTAGGCTAAATTAATAATGCAAATTAAAGAAAACTATATAAAAAATAAACAGATCTATACTAAATTAAAGCAAATTAAGAAACAACAATTATAAAAATTAAGAAATAGAATAGAAAAATTTTGAGACAAATAGTTATAGTAATTAACTTAAACAATATATCAAATAACAAATATAAATCAGAAATATTTTGAAAAGAAAAGGAGCATGTGATCTGTTAATGAATTGAAACAAAAAGAAACTAAAGAAAGTGAGATTTGAACAGAACTTATCCTTGAAGAAAAAAGAAATATTACAAAAAATATTGTAATAACTTAAATAGTATGCAAATTTCTTCAAAATTAGGTAATAATTTGATAAATACTTTATTAAGCTTTATATTAATTATGACATTTTTTAAACTAAAAATCAATGATTACATTTTTGCTTAATTACTAATTTTGAGTCTAATAGAAAATTTATATAAAGGTGTTAATAAGAACTATAGAGAAGAAATTTTTCTTTTTGAACTAATTGTACTATATAATACTTCTTCTGGTAACAATTATACTACTAAATAAAGAATTCTCTTACTCACCTTACGTATTTGAATTTCACTTTTCTAGTTATACAAATAAAGACTGGCCTAATAACTATTAAATTCACTAATTTTTGAATGATAATTTATTCAAAAAACTTAAATGTTAACAATACTATACTAAATTGAAGATAAGTATAAAGCTCTTCCAAGTCATTATACTAATTTATTATTTTCTGAGCAAACAAATTTAATTCAGTCATAGACTTTATTTGGATGCATTCACATTACATTCAATCAAAAGTTTATCAAAACTTATCAAATTAGAAAATATTTAGTTAGTCACTTTTTGCCAGATTTTCTAGAATTTATAAAAACAGTTGTAATATAATATAGTTAGATAGCTTTACCCTGATTAAAATAGAATTTGTTAACACTGTTAACAATAGATTCTACTTCATATATAAGCAATTTACAAATTGTAATAGTACTGCATGATATATTTTAGATCATATATCTAATTTAATACTTTGAATTATATTTACTAAGTCAAAGTAACATTATATAGTTACTTTAGTATAAGTGTCAGGCCTACTATAAAATTAATTGTCAATTAATTTTTATCATGCATTATAACTTGAAATCAATTAATATTATCATAAAATTAATTAAAATTCAATTAATGACAAAATAATTGCAATTAATTGCAATTATTTGTTAAGCATAATACTGTATTGGCTAGTGCAAAATCAAAAAAATAAGGGTCATAATTATACACAGCTAACCTGTATAAAACTTGCATATTAAACAAATATTGAAATTTTATCCTGCTAATAATTGTACTACTAGTATAAATTCTGGTTATATTGTTTGATTGCAATAATAATACATAATACTGTAATACATTTTAAATAAAAAAGATATAGTGATAGAAATTATAATATTATTTAACTTGATTAATATCTGAATTGATCACATATTACTATTTATTCTTAGAAGCAAAAGATTTTCTAAAGAATACAGATCAAATGATTTTCTTAAGTAAGTATAGTAATATTTAATAATCAAAAATAATCATTCTACTGCATTAGATATTGAAGGAATAAAATTTATATTTATATATTTAGATTCATCTAGTTTGTGTTTTTTTGCTATATGCTCTTTTATTGTTATAGGTTCTTCTACTATTGCCTAGATATTTTTTTCTATAATAAATACTTGAAGTTTTTGCTTTAAATAAATATCAGATCAACTTCTTGTCTTTATAAAACTTTGACTATAGCAATTTTGAAAAGAGGATCATAAATTATTAATGCATTTCTTTTTAATCAACTTTCTAGTTCAGAACATTCTTTAATTAATAAGTCAAAATAAGCATGAACATTGTCTAAATTTATTGATTCATTTTGTAGATTATTAGTTGCTTTTGAAAAAATATTTGAGTTGATTAATAAAACTATTAACTTTATTTAAATTTAATTGCTCTACTAATAAAATATCTCAAGCTAAAAAATTAAAAAATAAAGTAAATAAATAAATTAATATAAATAAATAAAAAAGTTAAAATAAATAAATAAGTAAATAAAAAATTAAAATAAATATATATATACTAGGTGTTAAACTCATCATTAAATGATGGGTTATAGTAATATATATTATATAATATCTAGTTTTAAGATTAATATTTACTATTATATAATTTTATTAGTCAATTCGGAGAATATAATCAAAGAAAATTATATAGTCAGTGTGTCATATATATAATATGAGGTCTTCATCTTGAAATTCAAGTTTGGATTATATAATTTACTATATCCTGTAAGGTCATTTTCAAGACAAAGACCCATATAGAAGCAATTTAATTGGCTAAAAAAAAATCTAGTAAAACATATTAAATGATTCATTTGTTATTGTTATGTAATTAATGAGCTTGTTCGATTTTTTTTCATTAGGCTACGACTCGATTCATTATTTGGTGTCTTATTAGTTTCTTATAGCATGTATAAGATATCTGTAAATTATTGGTATATTTGCATCATAATCTTGGGCACTCAAACATAGGAGTTAAAATAATGTAATTAATCAACTTTTTATAATGTCTTTCAAAAAAAATTACATATAGAAAGAGCAACTTTAAGATTTTTCTAAAGTAGATACATATATATATTTATTATTATTATACATATCAGATATTATATTAACATTACATAGTACCAATAAATTTAATGCTATTTAAATATATATTCATAATATGACTCTTTGTTATTTAAAAATCGATGCTTCCGAGTATTATGGAAAGGGTCAGGACCAATCAAGTTAAAAGAATTTTATTGACATTAATCCATAAAAAGATAAAAGTCACAAACTGCATAACAATATAATGATGGTTTAGCAAATCTTTTTTAATTTTTGAGCAGTCTAAAGATCAGATAGAAACTTTAATAATATATGATATTTAAGAAATTATTGGCCGGAATACAGAAGTAATGTTGTATGAGGTTCATCTGATATCTATAAGATTTTATTATTGTTTTTTTACAGTCTAACTTTATAAAAAAAGTGTATAGTTTTTGTTTTATAGGTTGGTTCTTTTTTTTTATACTGAAGTAGATTTCAAAAATGAATGCCTTATTGAAATATTTAATAACCTTAAAGATTAGGCTATAGAAACTTAATAAATCGGTTTTCATATTATAAATTTTCAAAAATGACCTGGCATTTCGGCAACCTGGCTTTTAATTTTATTTTCAAAAAAATTTTATATATAAAAAACATAAAATTTTTTATAGATTTTGTAAAAAAAAACTCATCCAGATAGTAAGTATACTTTGAAATTTTTTTTTAGAGTTTTGTAAATTTGACCCGTCTGGGTTATGAAAACTGATTAATTAATTTTGTATGGCTTTATTATAGATTCTTATTTTCATGTCTTCTTGTAAACTATCAATAGTGTAGAAATATTGTTCCGATATTATGGAATGAATATAGAAATTTATTATTTATGAGGAATGTGGTAAGTTTAGATTATAGTATTGAATAATTTATTATAAAATATTTTTTTATATTAAATGTTTCTCGATAAGTGTATTTTGTTAGAAATTTGATTTTTATGATATTAACGATTTTTATTAGATTATATTCAAAAAAATTTCATAATATACAACATTATTTGTTTGATATTCTTTGTTAGTATTTGTGTTATTAGGTATGAGGACCTTGATAGACCAATAAGAAGTAAATCTCAACAAAGTAACATATAGTTGACTGTATGAAAAAACAGGTTGTGGTAGGTGAACGCCTACTTGATTTAATGTTTGAACTTGCGCCTTGTTGATAGTTATGGAAAATGCAGCTCGCACAGAAAACTGGTATCATTTTAAAGTAAATGGTAATTTGGTATCAGAAGGTGTTAATGTTATTCGAGGTATGAAAACTCGTTTATTAATATGTGATCCTGTAATGATTTCTGCATCTATTACTTTGTTATAAAGTTCGTGACAAATTAAGCAAGTTCCATTGCAGAGACCCTCTGCTGGGTTTAGGGTTCGTTAAAGCATGACTAGGGTTCCAATTTTTAATTTCAATTTACCAGAAGGAATACCAAAAATATTTAAAGATCTTAAAAATTCAGGAGGGTATAACTGAGATTGTTCTGCATTACTGTCATCAGTTAAATTTACAGAGTCAGCACTGGGGTACACTTTAACTTCGCCAGGAGACCAATTTATCATTATGTCAGAGATCTTATCAACATTATTATTTGTTAGTGTTAAAATAGCTCTATCTGTGAAATAATCTTTATTTCCTGAATTTTCGGTGAAGTTTGGATAGACAAAGTCGATAAGGTCTGATAATTTTCCTCCCATCATTATTAAATCAGAAGGGAGTTCTGCCATGTTTTCCATACCTGGAATAATTGGATATTTGCCATCTCCTATTTGTAAAAGAAACTCTGCAAAGTTTTTCTGTTTTAAATTCTCGTCTGCATCATTAGTTTGCGAAGTCTCATATTAATTGTTAACTTCATTCTTCTAATTTGTCTCCACAAATAAGATTGAGATAAGCTAGCTGAAACAGTATCAGCATGAGATGCACATTATATAACAGGCAGTACTTAATAAAAATCACCCCAAAGACAAAAACTTTTCCCCCGAATGGTTTGTTAATTTGAGTTATATCATAAAATGTCCGGTCAAGCACTTCAAATTAAATTTATGAACCATTGGGGCTTTATCCCATATGAAAAGTTTTGTCATATTAATTAGATGGGCTTCATCGCTATTCTGAGAAATGTAGCATGTTGAAGATTCATTAAGTTTAATTAGAATTTTAAAATAACTGTGGGCTGTCTGACCACCACTTATTAATAGTGTAGCAATTCCTAAAGAAGCCATTGCTAAAGCAATTTCGCTCTTCAATCTGATACTTGTTAGCAAGATATTGTACAAAAACATCTTTCCAGTACTACCTGGTCCATCTACAAAAAAACAGCTGCCTTCGTCTTCAATGGCTCATGTAACAGCATCAAATATTGTGCATTGATCTTTGTTTAACAAATGAACATTTTGATGTAGTTTATCTTCTAGTTGTGTGATATTATATGACCTTTCTTTGCAAATTAATTGCTTTAGCCTTTTACTATTACCCATATTTGATATATTGTTAGGAGGAATTAGCATATTCAGAAAATCTTTTAGCAATTTTCCATTTAGCAAAAGGTAACCTTCCAAATGTCTAAGTGTTCCCATTCAACAGTAGCAGGTATGTTCTCATTTTGATTTGGCAATAGTTTGTGATTTCTATATATAATATCTTCGCATAAAGCTGTTTTATAGTTATTTCACAATATTTCAGGCTCTATTGGTTGGCAAAAAAGAAGTATTATTGCAAAAAGGTGTCTCAATTGTTATCCTGTTTGTATAGCACTTGTTTCAAGCAAACATGCATCCCATTCAGCATCATCTTGAAGAAGACCAAGACGAATGCAAACTTCTTTGAAACTTTCACATACATATCCATTAACAGTTTTCAGGTTATCGAAGCTAGTTGCACCTCTAACATAGGTAAGTAAGGTTCGAAGATAATACCTTTCCCCTTCTGAAGGTTATACTATGTAAAGCCTTCCAATCATAATTGTTGCATTTTTTCTGGGTTTCTACTTATGGCAAGATGCATCCCAGGTATAATGGGGCAAAAAAATCAATGTAAGTATATGTACGTGCTGCAACATTTTCCATATTCTTTTGAAACCAAGCTGTCAGAATAGTTATATGCATGTTAGCACAATTTAAAACATGTTGAAGGTTCTCTCCATCTTGAAAAGTAATATATTGATGATCTGAAAGATGAACTGTTAGTCTCTGTACTGATGAAGTTCAACCATGCATCTTATAATGAAAAATTCTTCAAATACTTTCAGAAGCTGAAATATACCTTGAGTCTAAGTACATTTTTATTTTGTCAATTGGTTCAGCTTCAGCTTTAGCAGATGTTTGCAGACTATTGTTATTATTGGAATGAGAAAGAGTTACAGTAGCTCAGTCATGACCCTTATAAATGCATTTATATAAGTATTTAAATGCTGATATCGAACTACAAATTTCGACATTAATATGGGCATTATATTTTGTAACTAATTCAATATTATGTGGCACAACCTATCTGTTGTCTAAAAGATTTCTTCTAATTTCAACAGAATGGCCAAGACGCCTGCAGTAAATGAGATATCCATTATCGCTTTCTACTGTGTGTTCCTGAAAATCTTTCGAATAATGTTTTTGACACACACTATTTTTCATACATGGCATGGCTGGATTTAATACACCACATGAACCATGCACTATCAGGCTTGTTACTGTCTTATAAGCAAGTAGATATAAAATATGATCAGGAATTTTGCAAAGACTATGGAGTCATAATCATTAGTAGATCGGAACTTGTCTTCTGTTGCAAGTATTAGTAGAAAGTGCACATTAGGTAGACCACATTTCTGAAATTCTATTATATATATATATGCGATAACTTTACCAAGCCAATGGTTGCTATTTAAGTCTTTTAATAGTTCTTGTAGTTTTACGTGAAATATGCAGGCTGTTAAATCTGGTCTATCAGCAGCATTCTGATTAGGTAATAATTCTCTAGTAACTTCTGGCCATTTTGGGTTATATGTGAAAGTTACAAAAAGGTCTGGTTTGCCAAAGTGACTTATAATAGCCATTGCATTCTGATACAATTGATACATTTGATGTGGTCCACTTGTAAATAATAATGGAAGAATGATACAATGACTGACATTGTTACTGTTATCTCCAGCATTTATTGCATCCATAACGCCTTGATATAAATTAGCTCGAAGTAACGATTGTTTCTGCTTAAGGTAGTTTAAATGATTCTGCTCTATTTTAGCATATTGGTCAACAATATACTGCTGAAATAGACGACCTGCATACTGTAGCCAATTTCCATCCCTAACTTGTAGCCTATATGAGTAAAATTGCATCGTTGTTACTCTTTCTCGTCTTATATTTCCTGTAAGTGATATGTTTACATGCCAGCCATCGTCACCTTTTGAAAATAATAATACATAATGAAGCGAGTCATATGATGGATAACATTCTGATATTTTTTGCAGACTTTATTACATAATCTAAGAAGAATGTCTCGATTTGTCAGATTTACATCATGACCATTACCAACTATAATTACAGCTACTTTGGAAGCTGTGGGAGCATTATAATGATGGAAATCTTGAGTTCTATTACTATAGATCATCATCGAAATTTCAGTAGTTTCATTTTCCTTGATAAGGTTTCTTACCTAATGAAAATTTTGTATGTAAGGATTACATCTATCTAGCATGGTTTGTAGATTTTGTAAAATAACTTCATTTAATCTTTGTATTCTGTTATAACAGTTTTCAATTTCATGTGCTGTATCATAGATGTATAGTTGAACAAACGATGGTATGTGAGCTTTGCTTAACAGTAATGGTCCAATACGATGGTAGACTTGGCCATGAATCCGAAAATTAGACACGTCTTGTCCTTGAAATTGATTATCTATATTGGCACCAAATTATGTGCACACTAAAGCATTGTTATAACCTCTAATATTATTGCGAAATTGATTTGGAAGGGATTTATTTGAAGTATATAGATGCAGTAAATATGCTGGCAGTTCAGTTAAAGGTAGTAATTGCACTTTACCATGGGCACAGCAAAGTGCAAATTTTGGAGAAGTTCTGTTGCTATTGTGATCTTTTTCAGCCATCCAAAATTTTGCACCACAATTAGCACAAATTTGGTCCATTCTTCCTATATCATGATGTATTAATCTACTACGTTATCGCCTTTGATCAGTTTGGATGTTAGTTAATTCAGAAGTTGAGGAACTTGCAGCAGAATCAATAACAACAATTGGCACTTCTGAGGCAAGTAAGCGTTGCAATTCTTCTAATACAGTATTAGTATTACTTGCTTTTTTTTTGTTTCTGTACCATTTTTGCTTTTGTCTATTGAGTTCTTTTCTATGTTCTTTTAACTCATCTGCTGTTTCAAGTGGTGGGAGTACTTGCATTATTTAAGTCTGATTAATGAACATATGAATGTATAATTATACAAATAGTGTAGGTTTATGTATGATTTTGATTATACATATAATTTAAATTAGCAAGTACACAGATAAATTAAAGAATCTTAATTGAGAAAATACGTCGATTTTTCTAATTGAATTAATGATAAGGTCAAATTTTGAATTTTATTTAAGTTAATTTTTGAATTTTATTTAAATAAAAAACACAGTTTAAATACATTTTCATTTTAGATATTTTTGCTTTCTGATGATTATCTTGATTTTAATCATATAGTTATGTTCTTCGCGTTTTCCTGATTGGTTTTAAATATATTCATTACTACCCACCTACTATTATGCAACTATAATTCTCTTTTTGCTTACTATTATATGATTATATTTTAGATATCTTTGCTTTCTAAAGATTATCATGATTTCAATTATATATTTATGTGTTTCGCATTTCTCTGGCTGGCTTTAAATGTATTTAATTTAATTTGCTTCAGAAGATTATCATGAATTTAATCATATAGTTATACTGATACTACTTATTAGAATCTTTAAAAGATTAACATTAACATAATTGTAGTAATTTTTTTCTTCAATACTTCAAAGTAAAAGCGATTGTTAAAAAACATAAAATTCAATAAACACACTATTCTAAAAATATACATTGATTGCTGTAACTAAATTTCCACTAATAATATAAATAAAATAAAAATAAAAATTGAAATAAAATTATAAAAACTGATCAAGAAAATTCAATTGCATGAGAAATTCTTGTAGATTTATTTTAATGCTCTTCTAGAAGATTATAATGCTGATTATTTTATTTGAGTAAAAGGTTTTTATAATTCTGAATCCAGGATGCAGCAACAAAACATAATGAACCCAAATAGTGAAAATGGCTGGTAGTATTAATAAAAATTTTGTACCATTGCATAAACTGGAGGGTTATACTCATTTTAAAAGGTAATAGAATGTTCCAAATACTTAGAAAACAATACTTTCTGGTTTTACGTTTATTGAATAAATAAAATGATTAATTTATTGCTTATCAATATTATTTTATTAATATGAATTTTTGTTTGTATTAGTGCTTGATATATTATGTAGTCATGTACAATTTTACCCTGGTTTAATGAAAAATCAACTTTGCATATCCTAACAGAAAAACAGTGAAAATTTTTTTTTTTTAATCCTATCAAGAACAGGAAGTATCGACAATTTCATTGGGAATAGTATGTCGTAAATAGTATGAATGAAGGAATTGTATTTTGATGGGTAGAATTAGTGTTTGTAGTGTTTAGAAAGGCTTTTTTTAGATTTAAATTTATTTTAATCAATTAAATATAATTTTTTAAAAGATTATTTTTATAATATAGTATAGATAGATTTATAATTTGGCGGGGATCAACTTATAATGCAGATGTTTTGTAAACTGAAGGTACTTGTCAAATAAGAATTCCCAGGTCTCTTACAAATGTTTACTCAAAAAAATTGAAATATACCTGGCATGAATCAAACTTTATAGTGAAACATAGTATACAATAAAGTAATAATAAGAGCATATTTAATACTATTGTAGCAGGTTAGTCTTGTATTCTTGTTACTGTATTATATGTTTGCATATCTAGTTTCTAAATTTACCTATAACTTCTATACTTGGTAAGTTTTCAAATATTTGACAATTAAGTAGCAATATTTAATATTTTTTAAATTTTTATATGAATAAATAATGGAATTGAACAGATCCAAAATTTAAATAGTATCTGGTGATTGGTTTATACATATGCAAGAGTTATCATTATATAGAAATTTAACTGTTTTGATTGTGTACGCGTAAAATCAGACTGATCCAGAATCAAAATAGTTCCTGGTGATTGGTTTATGCAAGCATTATCATTGCACAGAAATTGTTTACGTGTAGAATCGGACTGATTCAGAATCGAAATAGTATATGGTGATTGGTTTATGCAAGTGTTATCATTACACAGAAATATTTTTATAATATAGTATAGATATATATCCAAAAATCTATTAATCTGTATAATGTGAGGAATAAGTTTTTTACATTGATTAACTATTTTTAATACACTCATTCAACAAGTTGTATTATCTAATATAAGCTTTAATAAAGTTACTTTTGCAAGTTTCATATAGTTTTTATAAGTTCAATCATGATTACAATTGCACAAATTTGGTTTACAAGATTAGATGAAGTATTAATAATATTATTAACTGCTAAATTTAAATAATATGATATATATCCTACAAGTAGAAGATTTAAATTACTTGTTATTTTTTTAGTAGTACTACAATTATCTCCTAAAAAAAACAGAACATCACAAATACTCTTAGTATATAATTTCAAAACAGCTTTAATGAATCTAATATATGCATTTGCACACTGAGTAGTACAATTCTCAAACAGTGAAAATGCTAGTAAAACCAAGTTTCTGGCTTTATGAACTGTTTGATAAATGTCAAATAAACCAATAAAATGAATTTCATTATTTGTTCATTCATCAAACATGGTTCCAATTTTTTCTGATAAGATAGTTTTAATTTTTTCTTGCACACAATCTGCTAAGCTGTTAAAATACTTGCTAATCATTAAAACATTCACTTTTGAAAGACTGGTATACTCAATAAAATCAGGATTTTTATATGTACTAAAAGATAACTGTTATTTTACAATAAGGCTTAGCCAATTGAAAATATTATATTTACTTGTGCTATAATTAATAATAATAACATTTTCTGTAGAAAAAGTACCAGATGCAATATATTGTTAGTAAATCAACTTGAAATTTTCGTGCTTTGCATTTAAATAATTCATTAAATTTGTAAAGTCAGAATTTTTTTTTTTGGGCTATTGACTTTGATCCAGAAGAACATAAATTACATTGATGTTTGGTGTTATTTATAGGACTAAAAAAAGCTTTGGCATATAACTTGTTTGAAACTTTTGTATTCATAGCAGTAAATTTTAAATAGAAATGTTAAATACACTACTTTAATATATATGCCTTTGAACAGCTTGTAATTTTTTATATAAATTTATTAAATAAATTAACTAATATTGATTCAATAAATTAATATAATATGTGATATATAACTGATTATGTGATTTTATAAAAAAATTGCAATTAATTGACTAATTGTAGCTGCACTGCCAATTAATTAATTAAGTTTGAAAAATTGCAATTAATTGCTACACAATCAATTATTCAGTAGACTTGATATATTAAACAATTAGCATAGTTTAATTTTAAAATTTATAAATATTTGGTTAGTTAAAATCAATAGGCAAATTCTGAATTATAAGTTTTTAAATTTTATAGTTTATGACAGTTAGTTTTACACTAAAAATATTAATCAGGCAATAATTAAAATTATTGTTACAGATTATAATTTTAATAATAATATAATGCCTGTAGAATAAGTATACATTATATGCAAATATACTGTATATAAGATGCTAATTAGGCAAGGCTCCAGATTTTTTATTGAGTTACTCTCCTCACTGTGATATATTATAGGATCTTCTATTTTTTTAATAGGGTCTGAACTTGATATTCATCAAAGCCTCTGTTGGATTTATTGGCTTAACTGCCTTCCTACTTAAGAGTAGAATAAAAGTAAGAAATGGCTAGGCTTGGATACTATCAGTAATTTTGATGTCAATAATTTGTCAAATTAACATATTCACAAATTTGTCTGATAATGGTGTTATATGACAATTTATAAAAATTTTTTTATGATTATATAAGTTTGCTGAATAATTTTTAATATGATGCCACTAAGAAAAAACTTGTAAATCTTATTAAATAAAATTTATAGCTTTTCTCTAAGTGGCACTTTTATTATTATGCCATTAGTCATTATAAAAATATTAACAAAATGATTATAGATGAACATTAGAGGTCATAAAATATATAAAGTAATAAATAATATTATATCAACTAAATCCACAATAAGTTATTTTTATATAGTACTGCATATAATTTTGATTTATATAGTTGACTATGTTATCTTGTTATATACAGATTTTTTTTGTCTAGAATTATGATCATATAAGATTTCAATTAGTAATAATTTTTTTTTATTTTTTTTATTTTTTTTTTTATTTTTTATTTTTTTTTATAATGCCAAATCGTAACCTATATTTATTAGCTTTTTGCATTACTATTACATATATGATTACATTATATTTGTGCTACTATTTCTAGTCACCCAACATGACATTATATCTACATTTCCCTATGTACTTCTTTTTGTAGCCTTCACTATGTATTTCAATCATCGTTACTAAACTA